CTACAGGGTGGGCTACAACCACCCCAAAATTCACCATAGCCTCCCCTTCCAGCACTGTCACCTGCCCCAAGCATAGCTGCCCCCCTGCACACAAACAACCTTTGGTTCCATTCCCTGTTCCACCCTGGCTGGGTAGCTCCTACCTCTGCCCCTGCTCCAGCCCCGCTCCTTCACCATGGGGGTGTTGATCTGCCACTCCCATGTCCCTTCCCCCCACAGACTTACTGGCCAGATGTTGCTTTCCAAGCTGCCCAGCTGTACACCTAGTTGTGTGCATGCTGTGGCTGTACACACACACGACATTTACTGGCGACATTGATAACATCAGTTTTCCTTTTATTGGTGCCAATATGATATGGTGCACCTCTACTACAGTCAAACTTGTCACACAACAAGGCACAACACCCTAACTGATCACAGGCAGAAGGACAACAGCAGCCAGTATCCTACTGCTGCAAGGGTTGTTAAAATATGTTAAGAGATCTTGGGAAGAGGGCCACACCTCTTGCTACAAAGGCAGGCAACCTGCCGCCCCACCCCCACGCACAGTTCCTACCAATGTGAGCGTGGGATAAAATTCCTTCCTGACCCCAAACATGGCTACTGGTCTAACCCTGAGCAGAGGTGCAAGACCCTCTAACCAGGAACCTCTGGGTTTTAATCCCAGTAAAAGCACTGGCACACTCCAGTAAAAATCCCTAGCCTTGGCTGCAGCCAACACCCAATGCTTTTGAGGAAGACAAAAAAATACCCCGTAACACATGTAGTAAAGGAGGGGGAAAAATACTTCCTGGCCCCATGCAGCAACCAGCAAAACTCAAAAGAATTGGAAATATTCGTAGTACACCATCGACATAGTTATGCCTAGATCATCCTTGATCAATGCTTATCCAACCTCTTTTTGAGCACCTTCAACCATAGATTCCAAAACTTCCTTAGGCCAGAAGAGCCACTGGATCCAGCCTGCAGGGCTTTGCCTGTGCTTGCCCATACTGGAGCCAAAAAGAGAGGTGCACCTGTACTTATACCACTGCCATTTCTCCCTGTCCTTTCAGCTCCAGTCCAAAACAGGCCAGATGGTTTGGGCAGTATATCAGCAGCAGAGGGTTTCCCCTGTGCCTACACCAGGGCCAAGCAGCTGGGAGCTATGCCAGGACCAAGTATCTGTAAACTGCATCTGTTTTTTCATTGCTTCTTACTCCTCCCTCCCCCTGCACCCCAGCTGCAGTGCAGTGCAGCTTCCAGCTGCTGGGGAGCTGGGCAGCTTCTATCTGTGGTCATGCTATAGCAGAGGGAGGGATAAACTGTGGCACCATGGACACAATTTGCAGATACTTGGTGCTGGTACAGTTCCCCATTGACCAGAAGCTATGCTTGTGCTGGGAAACAGGGCCCTGTGGGAAGTGGCAGGGACACAGGCTACCTGGCTCAAGTGTGGACATGGAGAAAACATCCTACCACTAATGTGATCCTGAAGCCACCTAGCCTGTATTGGGCCAGAGCTGAATTGTTCCTGATATCAAACCTAAACCTACTTTGCTGCAACTTTAAGCCATTGGTCTGCCTCCTGTTCTCTGCAGCAACACAGAAAAGGTGTTCTCCCTCTTCTTTATAGATTTCAGAAGACTGCTATCATCTCCTCTTAAGCACCTTTTCTGCAAGCTGAACATGCCTAGTTCCTTCAACCTCTCCTCATATGACTTGTTTTCCAAGCCCTTTTATCATTTGTGTCAACTGCCTTTGGACCTTAACTTCTCCATAACCTTTTTAAAATGAAAAAGTTCAAAGCTACACACAATACTCTAGATGACACCTAACCGGTCCTGAATAAAGAGGCACTATCACATCCTGTGTCTTGTACCTAATGCTCCTATTAATTCAGTCCCAAACTGCCTTTTGTGCAGCTGTGTCATGCTACACACACATATATAGTTGCCTATGGCAATAATGTTAATGACATGAATAAAATGAGCTAAAGGTTACAAGCAACATTGCTTTTCCAAAATGAAATTTCAGTTCTTGAATTTTCAAAATGAATGTATTTCTTGCACCATTATAGTATTTTAATTCAGGAACTGTACAGGAAAACTCTTGAATTTTCTGGATGTTATTCATGCTTGAAACATCTCATGCATTAAATTATTTTGATTTTCTAATAAAGATACAGTAAGAAATAGCAATAAATAAATAAATATATACATACATCAATAAATTTAATTACATTCTCCTGAAAAGAGTCAGACAGACATATCACATTAAAGTCTATCATTATTAAACGTGTTCAATTTCTATCTAAAATCAGATCATATTAAAATTCCATTGCCTTCAGCATCTCAGTGAAACATGAAAGCACAAGAATGTTTGTCATTATCTCAAAACCTGATACTAGCCTCTACAATCCTCCACAACTGGAATGCCCTCTTCCTACCTGATACCAGTAGCTATATTTCCTCAACGCATTTTTAAGATGTGGCTATACCAATGACACTCCTATTCACTGCACAGATCTACTCCATGTAAGGGTTCCCAAGGCTCCTCTAGAAACTGTTTTTGCAAAAAGCCTTGCAAGAGGCATCAACATCAGTGGACTGAAAGCAATGAGGTAAGACCCTTTCCTGCACAAGAAATGAACAGTCACATACAGCCCCAAATCTATTAGGTTATGAGAAGCCATTTTGAAGTAGGACAGATCATCCCCTCTAAAGAGCTGAGAGGGACCATGCGCATTCCTCCTGTGGAACAGGCTGGAGCACAGAGGTCTAGGGATGGCAGATGGCCTCCTACAATGCTCTGAAATCTTTACAGTTTGATGGGGTTCTGCAGACATGTTTTGTATTCATGGCTCATGTTTTCAGTCAATACTACTTAGTGTATAGTCCCAGTACCAGACTTTTTTCCTATCCTTGTCTCATTCCAAAACATTCCTAAACACACCTGCATAATTTACAGAGAAACACAGTATTCTGAGTCAAGAGCAAACATTCATTTTGGTCAGATATCAACAGGGCAAATTTACAGCTCCTCAAGATTTTCAAAACTAGCAGCATCACTACAACAAGGTCAGAAAAGATTACTGCTACACATGAGGTCAGAATTTAAGAACGCTGGAGAAAATATTACTTGTTTCTGCTGCTGGGCTTTTTTCAGAGCTTCAAGTCTCCTTTCTTTAAGACGTTCCAAATCTTCATCATCCATTTGGTCCAATTTCTGGATCTCAGCATCCAGCTCTTCTTCCACTATCTTGGTAGTCTGAAGCATTTGATTCTCCAGAACTTTTTTAAACATTTCAACAGAAGGGTTGGTATCCATTTTTCAGGATAAACAATAAACTTCTTACAGCTATGAAAACACAAGTCATGAAATTAGAGTTAAATAACACATAATAACACCCAAATAATTAGGGGTGCACCGATAGAGATTTTTGGGGCCGATACTTAAGGAGGAATATCGGCTGATACTGATTCAATTTCCAATACACCAACTGGAGGCAGCTAAGTCCAGTGTGGTGGAAGGGGAGTGGGGAAGGAAGGGGCATGGGGACATAAATCAACACCACCCCCCTGCAGTGAGGGAGGGACCAGGGGCAGGCACTGCCTGGGGGGGCCTGGAGTTGCAGCTCACAGGGAGGGAGATGGTTCCTGCTGCTGCTTGCATGTGCCCCTCGGGTCTGCATGGGTCAGGGCACGCTGCAGCCGGGGTGCGCAGGGCTCTTCTCGGCAGGGGCTGGATTTGGAATGGCTGCCAGCGGTGCTGGGACGATGCTGCATCCACCCCAAATTTCACCACTGCTCCACTCCCAGCACTGCCAGCCTCCCAGCACAGCCACAGCTCAATGCCCTGCAACCACCCATGTGCTGGGAAGAGCCGGGCTTGCACCAGGTGGCTGGTGGTGGCAGCGCTGGGAGCAGAGCAGCACTGAAATCTGGGGTGGCTGCAGCATCTTCCCAATGTCGCAGCACCCACTCTAAGCCCAGCCCTGCAAAGCCCTGGCTGTAGCCTGCCCCACCCCCATCCAGGGGGCACATGTGCCCCGTGCCCTTTGGGAGTACAAACAGCAGCAGGTTCTCCCCTCCCCCACCCTCCTCCTTGGGCAGTGCCTGCCCCTGCCCCCTCCCTCAACGCAGAGGTGGGGTTGATTTGCACCCCTCCCATGCCCCTTCCCTCCCTCCTCCCCTTCCATCACACTGAACTTATTAGCTGGAGGCAGCTCTCCATGTTGCTGGGCTGTGCTCCTCGCTGCCTGCGCTGCACTGCGGCTGCACACAGCACGGGCATTTATCAGCCAAATTCTCGGCTCCATCAGGCCGATATCTGATGTAGCCAGTTTTCTTTATACGGGTACTGATCCGACATCGGACCAATGTACTGGTGCACCTCTACAAATAATAATACCAAATAATAAGCCATTTGTTAAAATTTTTTATCAAGCCCATTTCTTGGTACCCTATGCTCTACAGGACAGCAGTTCTGAACCATTTTAGACTCCAAACACCCTTTGTCAGACTCAAGACCTCCTCTCAGAAAATGCCAAGTCTTCATTTTAATTTTCTTTACTCAAAAAACAAGTTACCAGAGCAAGTGTTTTGCTGCAAAGAACTTGAAAAGACCACAGTAGGTCAGGATGTTTTTAAACACTGTGAATTCCCATTTGAAATATCTGGGTTTGTCTTGTGAGTCATGTTTGCAACCCTAGCGTACTAAGAAGATCTCAAAACACCTCAAGATGCCATGGCTCCCTGGTTGAGAATCACTGCTTTAGAGAAACAAACCAAAAATAGCCTTTACTATCGGATTAGGAACTTGTATGCAAAAAGTGGTATCTTTCAGGATGATCTGCAACTCTGTAAACATGAGTGCTGCAAACGGGCAACAAAGAGTCCAGTCACAGCCGATTCTCTCACTCCCTGGCTCAGCTGTCGAAACAAGACATCTAGCCTAGTGGAAAAGGAACAGCTCCTTTGCAGGAACTGTCAATGTGGAACAGGTTCTGAGTTTCATGAAGGCTGGATGAGACTTTCCAAGAAAAGTAAAAAAAACCAAAGTTTTCTAGCTTGAACCAGAAAAAGGAAGGAGGAGGAGCTCACTGCTCTGAGGAGACAGCAAGGCGCAATGTTTTTAATCACAGGCAGGCATTTAAAGAGATCTTTTAAAGAGATCATGTCTAGCCAAGGAACCTTGCCTACCTGTAATAAAAACACTGTACCTCACCATCTCCAAAGGACCTTTCCTGCCTATGCTCTTAGACCAACACGGCTACAACCAACACCCCTGTATGTTTTTATCCCGGGGCGACAGGCCCATGGCAGGGAGGAAGCCAAGCTCCAGGTGTGCACACCAGAGCCCACATTTACATCCCTGCCAGCTCTGTCAGTGTGGTCTGTAGCTTCAGAAACACAGCCAGCCCTGGGTGCACCCATCCAGCGCAGGCCTACGAATTAAAGGTGGCAGCTCAGGGTCGAGAGCTAAAGTCCAAGGAAAACGGGGCCTCCGCACATCTCCAAACCAGAGGTGTCAAAGCCAGCCGGACATCTGCTCCCCAGGCTGGATGCGAATGCGTAGTGCCGGAGGCGGCTGGGGGAGGGGCTCACTTCCCTCTCCCGACGGGGGCAGCGCGAGCGCGCTACTACACATGCAAAGCGAGACCGTTACACCCCCGCAGCCCGACCGCCCACCCGCAAGACGGCGGCCGCGCGCAGCCTGACGCCACAGGTGCCCCAAGAGGGGGCGGGGGGCAGCGCTGGCGCCCTTGCGGCCGTTGCTCCCCGTGCCGCTTACCCTGTCCGCGCGTTGCCCCGAGCGTCCCACACCGACCCCGGTCCCAGCTCAGCACCTGCGTAGCTGAAGCGAGTAACAGCACAGAGATGGGGGTGGGGCTAGGTCCCAGTATCGGCCGCTCTCATTGGCTGTCGCGTGTGGTTACGTAACATGCGCATGCGCCTCACGGCAAGGCCCCTAGACACCCGGGCAACGCTCCCCCCCACCTCGGTTGTCGGCTGAGACCTTCGTGACGTCACTGAGCTGTGACATGCATTGCACCTCCTCCCGCCTACATTTCCCAAAACCCTTTGCTCCCCCCCCCCGACCGCTCGGCTTCTGGCGTGAACTGCGGGCCGCCCGGCCGCCCGGCATGCACTGGGGCCCGGCCGCTACGGGGAGCGCGAGCCCGGGCTCTAGAGCGAGGGGTTAAGCGGTCCCGTGGTGCCAGGTGCACGTTAATTATCCTGTTTGTACGATCATTTCAGTCCTTGCTCTACGTGCAGTCAATAACGGGAAACGTGTTCAAAGTGCACGGGGAGGTACGGGATAGCCGTGCTGGTCTGAGACAAAAAGAAATGCAAAAATCTAGAACTCTCGGTTCAGAAGTGCTACCTTTTCTTAGACCAACTGACTAACTGCAAAAAAAATTATCTTTTTCCTGCAAGCTTTCGGGCTCACATGCCCATCATCAGGCTCAGGGAAAGTTCAAAATGGTAAAACATCCCCATATGTAGGAATTAAACTTCATTTTTGCACAGAGGAAGCAGAAGCTGGAAATCTGCCCCTCTGGCTCCATGAGAGTGTCTTTGTGAGGTTGCTCTTTGTCATGCAGATCGAATGGGATTTTTTCCCTGGTGGTGTCAGATGGTGGGTGGAGAGGCATCAAAAAATGTTCAGCAATGAAGTTTATCATCCAAAATCGGCTAAAATTCGGCATCTTCCATGTTTCAGGGATAAATTTGTCTCCAAGAAAATGGGATAGGACTGGGCTGGACTCCCTTTCCCCTGCGTAATGAGGTTGGGGCTGGGCCATGCCCCTTCTCCGTGTGTGGCTGGATGGGAGCCAAGGTGCTCCCCACCCCACTGCATGCGGCCAGATGGGGCCCCGTCGCAACCACCTCAGGCGATGGATCTGGACTACAGACTGGGTCCAGGCCACAGAGGGTCTGGGCACTGCCCATCTAGCTTGCCAGGGGAAAAGGTTGAGCGCCACTGTCTTGGAACATAAAAAATGCCATTTACTGGGTCCCACCGTAGCTCCATCTTGCCCAGTCCCAGCTTGGTGAGAAGACATGCGAAGATGTCTGGCTGTGGAAACGGTGGTAAGGGGCTGGGGAAAGGAGGTGCTAAGTGGCACCACAAAGTGCTGCATGACAACATCCAGGGCATCACCAAGCCCTGGATCCATCACCTGGCCTGCTGAGGGGGCAGGAAGCACGTCTCAGGGCTTATCTATGGGGGAATCTTGAAGTGTGCTGAAGGTTTTCATAGATTTCATAGACATTAGGGCTGGAAGGGACCTTGAAGATCATCAAGTCCAGCCCCCTGCCCCAAAGCCAAATCAGTTCTGAATTCTGTCGAGAATTAATCATTCAAGTCCACGTGGTGCTGCCAGCGACAAGTATTCTCTCCCCCAGACTTCAGCCTGGGGCTTCAGGTATGCCCAAATCCGTGGCAGGCATCCTATGTGCAAGCCCCAAACCCAGAGGCCTTGGGGTTCAGATGCCCCCTAGCCTCACTTGCCCCTAGCCAAAATGCTGTCAGAGCAAGCTAGAGGAAGAATCTGCAAGCAATCCCCCATCACCATAAATTGTGTAGCCAGAGGGAGACTAGATGATGGTACGCCCTCAAATTGGCCAGTCTCTTTTACCTCAAGCAGCCGGTGTCTGGTACTGAAATACAGAACTATTTTTTCTGGTGGTGTTAAACAGCCAGCTTAAAAGTAATGGCAAGTCTGTCTCTGCAATCCAGGACTCTAATTACTGTTTTCTACTTTGCTATCATAAAAAATGACTTATCTTCACCCTGCTGCTGTGTGTGTGTGGGGGGGGGAGGTTGTGTGCGTGTCTCTGTGTCTGTGTGGCATGCACCTACTGGTGTGGGGGAAGGGAGTGTCCTCTTTTTTGAACCTGGACATACGGTAACCCTACGGCCAGCAGAGAGAGAGAGAGGGAGAGAGCTTTTCCCCTATGGCTGGTGCTGTCTAACACACTGGACCTTCCTGGGGCAGCTGGGCCAAGAACATTTTCCAGGTGGCCTTGGTGTTTTTCCTGCTTTTCTCCCCCGCACTAAATGGAGCCCGTGTCGAGTCGGGCTCGTGTCCTATTTTGTTAAGTATGCGCGACACCAGCGCACCCCCACTCTGGTCCGAGGCACCGTCGGGGCGGCCTTGCTGCTGTTCCCCCGCCGGCCGCAAGGGGCGCGGGAGGCTGCAGGGAGCAGCCGGGGAGGTGTCCCTCCTGCGCCCGGGCCTCGCGCACTCGGCGAACCGGGTCACGGGGTGAGGGCGCCTGCGCAGTGGAGGTTTCGCACCATATGCGCTGGGCTGCGTGCGGATGTGGTCGGCCGGAGTCTGCTGAGGCGGACGCAGAGGGACGATCCCACAGCGCCTGCAGCCGCCGCCATGGGCAAGAAGCAGAAGGGCAAGAGCGAGGACAGGTAGCGCGAGGGGCAGCTGTATCCGCGGTGACGTCACCCTCTCGCTCACTGGGGATCCGCGGGGCAGAATCCGGAGCTGTGACGTAGCGTTCCGCCGGGGGGG